TGCAACTGAGTTATGTGCCCTTGATCTGGAATTGAACCTACAACCCCTTGGTCCATGAACTAATGCTCTAAGCCAGCGGTTCTCAACTTGTGGGTCGCGACCCCTTTGTGGGTCGAACGACCCTTTCACAGGGGTCGTCTAAATACATCCTGCATGTCAGATATTTACATTATGATTCATAACAGTAGCAATTACAGTTATGAAGTAGCAACGAAAATAATTTTATGGTTGGGGGTCACCACAACATGAGGAACTGTCTTAAAGGATCGTGGCATTAGGAAGGTTGAGAACCAGTGCTCTAAGCACTGACCCAAAAGGGCCAGGGCTATCACAGGAGTTTTAAATGTTGCTCCTGGGAGTTTAGTTAAAGGAAATACCTAAAGCGATCTGCAGAACCTAGTATCACCTGTGCTATGGTGTCCTTGCATTTGATGACCCTGGATGCAATTCTTGGAGATATCTTTGCTCAGCATGCTGAATGCCTGGTTGATATCCTTTCTTTCTTTTCTTTTTAAAATAATTATTGAATTTGAGAGAGAGAGTAACATTGATTTGGTGTTCCACTTATTTATGCATTTATTGGTTGTTTCTTGCATGTGTCCTGACTGGAGATCTAACCCAATAACCTTGGCCTGTTAGGACGATGCTCCAACCAACTGAGCTTCCTGGCCAGGGCAATGCCTGGTTGATTTTCTTTCTGCCTGAGAGCCCACCTCTTGTTGGCAGTCCTCTGAAAAGTTGCACCCCTTTCCCATTACTCCCTGTCACATTCACTCATTTTATATCTGTTGTAGAATCTATCACACTCTTATCTTAGCTTTATTTGTTTACCTTTTGCTGTTTTCTCAGCTAGAATGTAAACTCTACGGGCAAGAATCTGATCTTGGCTACTGTGCTCCCAACACAGTACCTGGTGTAGAGGGACTTAATACTTACTGGTTCAATGAAGGAATGTATGAGGTGGGGAACAGCCTTCTGTGCTCCCCCAAATCAGGTGTGTAGACTTGAGTGGATGCTGTTTGTTAGATAGGACATGGGTCTCAAATGCTATTCTGACTGAATGCTGTTCTTGCTAAATGTTCAAATGTAGCACAGTTTTTTGCAGACGAGCTGTAAACAGGATGAGTTTGACAGGAACTCAACCCATAAATGCAGCCAACTGCAGTGCAATGGACTAAATAGTGCAGTGAAGCAAGGCTCAGCACTTCTGAGAGACAGAACTTTGGATATGAATGCCCTGTCTCCTTTACTTGCTGCAAGAAAAAGAAAACTGCTTTGGGAGAGACAGCCACATCTTTTTCTTGAACAGAGCAGCCCAAGCTACAGCACCCCAACTTGTGAACCCCTTGAGTTTGGTAACAAGTTCATGGTCCAATATCATTATTGGTGCATGAAAAGCCTGTCATTTTATTTTACCTTTTTTCTGGTGATATTTTTTTGCGGGGGGGTGGGGGGTGTTAATACTTACCTGAGAATATTTTTCCCCCATTGATTTGTAGCGGGAGTGAATGGGGGGGGGGGAGGGAGTTAGAGAGAGAGAGAAAAAAAAAGAGAGAGACAGGGAGAGAGAGAGAGATACACTAATGTGAGAGAGACACATCCATTGGTTGCCTCCAGCATTCTGCCACTCAGGAACAAACTTGCAACCCAGGTAGGCACTCTTTACCTGAAATCTAACTGGAAACACTTTGGTGTGTGGGCTTATGCTCTATCACTGAGCCACACTGGCTGAGACCATTTTATTGCATTTTTGCCCTTCATTTCCTATCACCTTTCCCCCCTACAGGACCCTCTCTGGCATGTACATAATTTCATCAAGTACTGCCAGATCATCTGCAGTGGCTGTGCTACTTTACATTCTTGCCAGCTGTTATCCCCACATTCTTGCTGGCACTTGATATTTTCTGACCTTATCATTTTTTTCCCTAATCTGATGCAACAGATGGAGTGATGTTACTGTTCTGATTTTCAGTTCTGTGACTACTAATGCAATTGAGTATCTATACTAATAAAAGCCTAGGTAGTTCTTGCACCCTCATGCAACACCCTCATGTTGTCACAAGATGGCCGCCACAAGATGGCCGGCAGGGGAAGGCAGTTGTGGGCAATCAGGTCAGCAGGTGAGGGCAGTTGGGGGTGATTGGGCCAGCAGGGGAAGGCAGTTGGGAGCCATCAGGCCAGCAGGGGAGCAGTTAGGGGGCGATCAGGTGGATCGGGCCTAAACTGGCAGTCGGACATCCCCCAAGGGGTCCCAGATTGGAGAGGGTGCAGGCTGGGCTGAGAGACACCTCCCCTCCCCCCGTGCATGAATTTTGTGCATCAGGCCTCTAGTTCTGTCATATATGTATTAACTGTTTGGGTTTCTCTTTTTATGAGTGGCATTTATATGTTCTTTGCCTCTTGTTTTAGATTTTCTTATGCCCCCCACCCCCTATGTTCTTCTGCCCTAATTTGCAGAGTTTGTTTTTTGGTGTATTTTACATATTAATCTCATTGGATTTTAAATAGTGCATTACTTTTCCCTTAGTTTTTTTGTTTGTTTGTTTGTTTTTTACCTGTTAAGTTTTTTCTTTGAAATCCTTTATGGAACAGAATCTTTAATATATATACATATATATATAAAATAGGTTTATATTACAGGTTTTGTTTAGGAAGTATTTCTTTGTTCTTAGCTAACAAAATATGTTGCTGCAGTTTGTGTCTTCTTTTTTGAAATCTGCAGTGATTTTTGTTTCTATTTTCATTTTTATTACTACAATTTATTTATAGATCTTGGTATTTAGAAGTGTGGTCTTTTTAAAACATATTTAAGCCAGTGCTTTCTAATGCTGGTTTTACTCTAGAATTTAACTAGGTAGGTGTTTTTAAAAAATATATTTTTATTTCAGAGAGGAATGGAGAGGGAGAGAATCATCAGTGATGAAAGAGAATCATTGATTGGCTGCCTCCTGCATGCCCCTGACTGAGCATTGAGCTAGCAATCTGGGCATGTGCTCTGACTGGGAATGGGACCAGGACCTACTAGTTCACAGGTCAACACTCAAACACTGAACCACGCCAGTGAGGCTAACTAGGTAGCTTTTAAAAATAATTTGCCCCCTGTACTCTACATTAACTGAATAGCTGTTGCATTTTTAAAAAGCTCCTCTTGTGCCCTAGCTGGTTTGGCTCAGTGGATAAAGCGCTGGCCCATGGACTGAAGGGCCCCAGGTTCGATACGTTCAAGGACATGTGCCTCAGTTGCAGGATCAATCCCTAGCCCTGGTTAGGGTGCATGGGGCAAATGATTTTAAAAAGCTACCTTGTGTCTCTCTCACATCGATGTTTCTGCCTCTCCCCCTCCTTTCTATTCATTTTCTTAACTTTTTTTTCCCTATACTCTTCTCCAACTGTTGTTGCTATGTCTCGATGGCTCCCTCTCCATCCTCTCCCCTCCTGCAGTAGATTCCTGTTTAACTGTAAGAATGTTTTTTTAATTATTTGGGAGAAAGAATTAGCCTCCTCTTCTACATTTCTGACCTACATATTTATAGTAGGGCTTTTTGGTTTTTGTTAAAATGTCTTTTCTATCTACCCACCTTTGAGGAAATAAATTATTTGTTTTTTGTTAGGTATTTTGAGCTTTTCTGAGGTGTATACTTTTCTACACAGTATCCTCTCCTTCCCAGAGTAGCTTTCCATAGGGAAGCCTATTAAAATAAAGAATAATAGAGGCCCCAGATGAGCTCTTCCTAAGTCTCTCCTCCACCAGGAATGTCTCTGTGAGCACCCAGGTCCCTCTCCCTCCTTGCTTTTCTCTTTCCAAAGCAAATCTATCCCTGCTCTGGAGGCATCCACGGCTGCTTCTGTGGGGGGTCTTGCTCCATTCAGTCTCCCTTCTCCTCTAACGTCACACTTTTTCTTTCTCCTTTGGCTCTTCTCCTTTAACATAAATATACTCATATTTTTTAATCTTTTTTTTCTTCATTTTTAAAATTTTTTTAAATTGATTAAGGTATTACATCACACGTGTTATTCTTTTTTTCTTTATTTTTTTTAATTGATTAAGGTATTACATCACACATGTTATTCTTTTTTTTTTGTATCATTCTTATCTCCATTTTATCTCCTGAGTGGTTTTTTTTTTTTTTTTTTTTTTTTTTTTTTTAAGTATTAT